ATTAACTTGAAACTGGTAACTAAGCTATTCATTAGACAAATAAAATCCTTTGAAGCAATGAGAACTGATGCATTTTCAACTAGTCTTGGACTTAATTAATAACTTGAGATTTATTAGTTAGAAATTAAATGAATGAGCATGGTAACGACATAACTTTGAATTGCAGAGTTTGTTATTAGGAATCTCTAAATCAACACAAATTATTTTACTACGGATTCTTTCAAAGTAATATCTATCACTTTAATAAAAGGATATTTTTTCTTGAAGAGTTCAAGATAACTAGATCATGTATCATAGTTAGTTCAGTAATATCATGTTTTCAGTGGCGGTCTTACATCAATCGGTTCATAATCTCAGTTAAATATTTAATAATCTCCACAATCCTATACTGATAATTACCGTGTGCTCACTAGCTTCTTGAGAGGATTCTTGGAGTTCTAACGAGAAGCAGTGACCAATGGAGCTAATCCGTGTCGGGTAGAGACAGGTATCTACCCCAGTACAATCGAAGATGCTCACGCAATTTTGTGGATTGGTTGGGGTTAGACATTACCACAATCCGATGCCGACCAACTCAGTGGTCTAGAGGTTAAGCGTTCGCGCGCGAGACTGAAGGCCCTGGATTCGGATCCCGCCAGTGAGTTCGTGGATGCGAACTGATGAGAAGTCATACAATAGGACGAAATGGTGGTCTAACATCAATCAGTTCATGATCTCAAATAGCATAGTTAGAAATGTTAGATCTTAGCTATTTTTCTATCTGAATGACTAGTACAGTAAATTAAATGTAATCATAAAATTTGTTTACAATAAATTAAAGAAATTTTTTCAACAGTGCATGACTAATAGCTTATCCTGATATGACAGGATAGACTGGTGAGTCTTCATTTTTAACTCATTGTGATTTTTCTTCAATAGTACCTCCGCTCCTAATTCAGTAGGGTGATTACTCGGAGTAATATTTGTTTTATTTTCTGTATGGGATTATGTTCAGCACAGCGTTGGTTTAAGATAATATTCCATGCATTAATTCACTGTAAAATTTGTAGCTTGGATTTTTCTGTGATGCTCTTTATTTTTTTTTGGAATAATTGTCAATTAATCATTAAGTATGAGTAAAATCTGCATATATATATATATATATATATATATATATATATATATATATATATATATCATTTTGATTTGTTTCCGGGGTCAAAGAAAACTTTCTCATTATGTGTCATCAAATTCGGGATTTTAAAACAAATGAAACTACTTAGGGAATTGGTAATAAAAGCAGCGAAGATTTGTTTATATGTTATACACAGAAATAAATAAAATCAAAACCTTAGCTTTAATTTTAAGAGATGTTGATGAAATCAAAATATATAGTCTAAAAAACAACTGAGGAAGGTCTGAGAATGCAAAATTTATCCTACAGTTATTGATACATATTTTCACATTACATTCAACTTATCCATTAGATAATGCCAGGAATCATACAGTAATTAAAAGATAAAACCGTAATTTTTTATACACTTTTATAATCGATTTAAATTGGTGAAGACTTTTAGACAGGAGAGATTTCAATGTCAAAAGTTTTGCCTTTATTATGTCGATACTATATGATCTATCCTTTTGAGTTATTTGTTTTAGTACTAATAGACATTAGTGAATAGGCTGGTGACTCGAAATTATTTTGAGGGAATATTTTAGGCTATTCAAACCTTATATAATTAGTTGGTATACATACATGATTATTTTCTCACTTTTAAAGGAAATTTAGCTAATAATACTTTTCAGTTGTAACAGGTATAAAACTCAAGTTCATGAAAACACCATTGCAGATTGTATGAACTAACGCTAATGTTAATTAAAATTCATATAGCGATGTATGTCGATGTGTACATCTTAAAAAAACCGAATCATCTAAGACTCTTCAGCTTGTCACAATAAACTAATGAGTCTTTATGTTTTGACAATAAGTGAAATGTATAAATCGATGTAAATTGTATTAACATATTACGTATACACTATAGTTATAAAAATACTGACCATTTTGGGTAACGAAATGTCAGTGAGAATTACTTATCGCCATTCGGTTCATTTATCTGTATTCAGCTACAGTTTGTTCAAATTTTTTTACTGTATCATCTAGCGTTCTTCAATCATGTTGTCTGGTTTTTCTAATAAAAAAACCACTTAGAATTATAATTTCGTAAAAGATTAGATTGTCATAACTATCAAATTTCTGGAAACTTCATAATTTTATTAGATCAACACTGATTATAAAGTATGAACTGTTAAGTTTAAATTCACACTATTAACTAGTAATTTTCTGTCAAAATCGAAATACGCGCTTGGAAAAATTAAAATTGTTTTATGAATATTCATTAATATTTGAATGAATATTTTGACTGAAATCGAGCTTCAAGTACATAGGAGATAAGTTTATGTAAACGAAACGTTAGAACTATTTTACTTTCATTCAGATATATTTTTCCACATATAATACCTACCATATATTTTCTCAACTATATAGAATATAATGCCATCTAAAACTTCACAATACATTTATCATAGGTAGATGCCACCTTCTATCATGTTTTCATTTAGATAGGTCAAATTTACTAATAATTTCTTTATATATACTTCGCGTCTTAAGACACGACATACAGAATAAACGTCAAGTAGTTTTTATCACAGTAAGTATACGGTAAACGAATAACGAAACGTTTTCTCTATATATAAATATCTACTAATATGTGGATTTGAAGTTTAACGACTGTGATACATTGTAGTGCTACTACTATTAAATAGCTTTCTTATCAATTTACTATGGTTACCATACAATATATGATTGTTCTGCAATGAGTCTTTTCGTAAAAGAAATTATAATTGAATGAATGTGAATCAAAGATTGACGAGACGTCATACAATCCGCTTTAACGAAGATTTTATAATCTTGAACCTGAAAATCTAACAAGCAGGGCAAAGTAACGATCCAAATGATATAGAAAGGTGTAGTAGTAGTAGTAGTAGTAGTAGTAGTAGTAGTAGTAATAGTAGTAGTAGTAGTAGTAGTAGTAGTAGTAGTAGTAGTAGTAATAGTAGTAGTAGTAGTAGTAGTAGTAGTAGCAGTAGTAGTAGAAATCCTTTGAAAGACTCATATTCTAAATTTTATCCCTAGACACTTTTTTACCCAACAAATCTCATCATTATTTTCTTGAGGCATGTTGCTGTTTAAATTTTATTAGTACATACAAATTTTCTGGAAAGATTAAAACTATCAGTTACACATAAAACCCTGTAACGGACAATTCGTTTATCTACGTACATGAATGGATTTTCTTGAGTAAGCAGTCTTATGTGTTGAATATGTAGTTTCTTGTTTAAAAATCTACATTTTCACCCTTCATTTAAATATCCCTTTTAAAAAGTTTCTCTGCGTATACTTTCAAATTTAAACTCACACCATAGCTAACCTATTCTCGTCCTACTAATACTTAATACGCAAAGAATGCTGTTTTGTATTATTGGCTTCAATTGTATTTCCCGATTTTTTTGATAAATTATCTGCTCCTGTTTGAACAAAAATAGAATGATAAATGTTAAGTTTATGCAAAATACCATCTAATTATTCTGGTGCAACAATACATCTTTTATCATTGATCCTTAATTTCTAACACATAACATTTAAGATGTTATCATCAATCTGATGATATATATATACATATATATTCGCTACTTCCTTTCACAACATTCATTGTATCTGACCAAGAAATCGTTGCAAATTTTTATTTTAGTAAACAATCAAAAACTACACATATTATGAGGATTTCAAAGTCACATATCAATGGTGAAGAAGCGAACAATTGGAAATTATGATAAATGAGTAGACTTATATTCAAATTCAGTGAAATTATTGATGGTTTGAATGTTCCTATAATTATAATTTTCTTTCAACTATTAACTTTGTATTAATGATGAAATCTACAAAATAGAATTTATGATAAACTCAGGATAATAATTCATAATTAGTGTGGTGGCGTATCATAGTCCTAATTCGTCGTTGAAATAAATCTTAAAATGGTTATGAAGAATAATTTAGAATTCGATTTTATCAGCAGTTGTCTGTGAATATTATAGTAATTTACTTATTGAGCTAATCAGTCTATTGAAGCTAGACCACCGCGGAAAACCAGGAAGCATTGGGTAGCCGTTTCGTCCTATTATGGGACTCCTCAGCTGCGTGCATTTACGATCCCTCTCTCAAGATTGGAACCCAGGACCTTTCAGTCTCACGCAAGGGCACTCAACCCATAGATCACTGAGCCGGCCGGAATCGGACTGTTTTAATGGATAACTTCATTCAATCCACGGAATTTCGCCACCATCCACCATTGTCTTTAATGAATTACTATCTCACAAATTACCCGGTTGCACTCCACTGGTCACGGCTTCTCAGTAGAACTCCAGGAAATATTTTTTAAAGTCAGTCACTAGTGAGCATATACTGATTGGCATCGGAGAGGGTTATTGTGGTTATTATAGTAATTTAATAGTTGAGTTCATTAGTCCATTTAAACTAGACCTCCATGTAATACCTGTAAGCACTGTAAGACCATTTCATCTTACTATACAATAGTGAGCATCCATCATTCAATGTTAACAAATTAATTCTCTTAATGCCAATTGGTTAATATATTCTAAACCAATCAAATTCATACTATTTAAATTATTTAAAATTGTTTATTCTTTACAAATATTTCTTTATATTATGTTAAATTAGATAAACAAACACATTGAACAATTCATTCCAATTTATAAATAATAAAATTAGTTAATAATTTTCATAATACAAACTTTAAAATATAAATAATTTCAATTATCCTTTATATTTTGATTTTATTTAATCAAGTAGAATATACTACTAATCCTATTGTTGTTAATACTACTTATATTACAACTTTATTATCAATAATTATTGATTGAATATATACATATATATAATTAAAATGTTTTTATTAACTGGATTATCCAATATGAATAAAACATCATTCACAGAACGATATGATAAACTTGGTTTATTATCGAATAGTTATTCATTTCAATGGGAAACTAATTCATTTCATACTATCAATATAAAATCTAATAAAGATAATAAATATAAATCATTTCTATTATTTTTATATAATACAACAAAATATAAAATTGAAAAAACATTTAATACAATACAATGTTATCATAAATTAATAATACAAAAATCCAATTATTCATTGGATAAAGAAATAAACAATAAATCAATACTTATTCAATTGAATAAAATCGATAATAATAATAATAATGAGCAATGTAATACTTACTCAAAAGAGAATATAATGAAATCAAATTCTTATTATATATCTAACGATAATAGTTTAAATCAATCGATTCATTATATAATTCAGGACGTATTATTCATCGAAAACATATAAAATATCGTCAATGGAAAAATAAAATAAATATCAAAGATAAAAAAACATGTATAGATATAAAAATCAATGAAAAATCAATAAATGTTAATAATAATATATTGATTTTTAATAATGATTCACAATCAATTGATTCTAAATATTCATTAAAAAATGTAGTAAATTATAATAAAATATCAAATATACATAAACAATATTTATTTGGTCAATTAATGAATGATAATCAATGGGATTTATTTAATGTTTATTAAATACTGATATAAATATTAATTCAATACAAAAAAAAATTAAATTATCAAATAATAATTATGAGTTGAATAAACATGAAACAATAATGATTGAAATATATCCATCAGTTATTGATCTTTTTCTAAGAAATATTCCATCGAATCTATCTTCTTCTTCTTCATCTTCTTCTGCAAATGGAATATATTCCATAATACTTTCATGTCTTCTTAATCATGGAGCTAATATTCATAATATAAATCATTTTTATCAATATACCTATAATGGTGGTATTCAGTTAAATACTTTATCTTATATATTTGAACAAATTGCAATACAATTAAATCATAGTTTACAAATAATAAATATTATAAATAATTATCAATTTATTGATAATGCTGGTCTTTTAAGACAATTATTAAATTCTGGTATGATTCCTACCAAATTATTTTTTCTTATTTATACTAATAAATTATTCATTTTTAATATAAAGGAATCAATCATTCTTAATCATAATAGTAATAATAATACAAATCAAATATATAAAAATCATTTTTATCCACTACTTATATATGAATTAGTAAAATGGAATATTTCTAATCAAAATACAACAAAATATCTTCCAATTATATTACAATCATTTATTGTATTATTTTTTAATTTTATATATTCTGGATTATGTAAATTACCTGAAAATCTATATGATATAATCGATAATAATTTAATAAATCAATATAATGATCATGCTAATAATAAACATAATAATCAATATAATGATAAAGATTACATTATTAATAATCAATATTATTTATCATATTTTAATTATTATCATAATAAATTTTTACAACTTATTAATAAACAACCATTTAGTTTATTTATACAATGTAGATATAAAATAAGAAATCAAATAGATATAAAATATTTTAATAAACTATGTATGAATTCAAATATATTTAATAATAATGATAATACTAATCATTTTATAATGAATAATGAATTTTATAAAAAATTAATTCAATTACCTGATCCATTAAAACATGCTATTGGTTATATGGAAGGGATACATTTAAAAAATGAATTATATACTTTAACACAACCAATGTAGTATCATTTTATGTATATATGGATATATATGGATATGAATGGATGATGAAATAGAAGCAAGTTTTTCTTTCATTGTATAGTTTAGTTTTTATGATGTAGAAATATAAAAATCTTGATGTATATTTGAATGATGAATCTTCATTTATTTAATAAACAATTATCCAGATCTAAAATTGTTGAAATTTATAAAATTGCAAATATGTATATTATCAAGATCAAATTTATTAGAACAGTAATTAATATTCCGACTCTCAATAAAGAACTAGAAACATTTTTCATAATTACTTACTTACGCCTATTACTCCGCATGGAGCATAGGCCGCTGACCAGCATTCTCCAATCCACTCTGTCCTGCCTTCTTTTCTAGTTTGATCCAATTCTTGTTCATCTTTCTCATGTCTATCTCCATTTACCGGCGTAATGTGTTCTTTGGTATTCCTCTTTCCCTTGACCTTGAGGATTCCATGTGAGAGCTTGTCTTGTGACGCAGTTGGGTGCTATTCTCAATGTGTGTCCTATCCACTTCCAGCACTTCTTCCTAATTTCTTCCTCTGCTAGGATCTGGTTTGTTCTCTCCCACAGTAGGTTGTTGCTAATAGTGTCTGGCCAACGGATCCGAAATATTTTGCGTAAACAACTGTTAATAAACACCTGTATCTTCTGGATGAAGAAATTAGCTTGGCCATCAGACAGATCAAGAGTGGCAAAGTAGCAGGACCAGACAACAATCCAGCAGAGGCAGAGGTTGCCTACTTTCACCCTTTCTCTTTCTTCTGGTGATCGACTGGATCATGAAGACGTCAACATCTGAAGGGAAGCACGAGATACAATGGACATCTAGGATGCAATTGGACGATCTAGACTTCGTAGATAATCCGGCCCTTCTATCCCAAACGCAACAACAAGTGCGGGAGAAAACAACCAGTGTAGCAGCAACCTCAGCAGCAGTAGGTCTCAATATACACAAAGGATAAAGCAAGATTCTCCGATACAACACAGCATGCATCAATCCAACCACATTTGACGGAGAACATTTGAAAGATGTAAAATCCTTTACATATCTGGGCAGTATCATTGATAAACAGGGTGAATCTGATGCAGACGTGAAGGCGCGGATCGACAAAGCAAGAGTAGCATATCTACAACTGAAGAACATCCGGAACTCAAAGCAACTGTGAACCAACACCAAGGTCAGGATTTTCAATACAAATGTCAAGACAGTTCTACTGTATGGGGCGGAAACCTGGAGAACTACGAAGGCCATCATCCAGAAGATACAGGTGTTTATTAACAGTTGTTTACGCAAAATACTTCAGATCCGTTGGTCGGACACTATTATCAACAACCTACTGTGGGAGTGAACAAACCAGATCTCAGCAGAGGACACAATCAGGAAGAAGCGCTGGAAGTGGATAGGACACACATTGAGGAAAGCGCTGAACTGTGTCACAAGGCAAGCCCTCACGTGGAATCCTCTAAGCCAAAGGAGGAGAGGAATACCAAAGAACACATTACGTCGACAAATGGAGACACATGAGAAAAACTAACAGCAATTGGATCAAACTAGAAAGGAAGGCCAATGACAGAGTGGATTGGAGAATGCTGGTCGGCAGCCTATGCTCCATGAGGAGTAACAGGCGTAAGTAAGTAAGTATGTATCTTCTGGATGATGGCCTTCGTAGTTCTCCAGGTTTCCGCCCCATACAGTAGAACTGTCTTGACATTTGTATTGAAAATCCTGACCTTGGTGTTGGTTCACAGTTGCTTTGAGTTCCGGATGTTCTTCAGTTGTAGATATGCTACTCTTGCTTTGTCGATCCGCGCCTTCACGTCTGCATCAGATTCACCCTGTTTATCAATGATACTGTCCAGATATGTAAAGGATTTTACATCTTTCAAATGTTCTCCGTCAAATGTGGTTGGATTGATGCATGCTGTGTTTTATCGAATAATCTTGATTTTCCCTTTTTTGTTTTGATTCTTCATAATAAATAAATAAACATATTTGTAACATGTCAACGAGTAGAAAAACTAGATTTTCTGAAATTTCGTGACTTAGTGTAATCCATTTCTTCATTATTTATTCTATGAAGAAGTAGCTTACATCAAGGTACGGAACGTAAGAAAAGCTAATATTTTACAGATTGGGATATCACAAACATATCATTTATTTATAACGATCTACACAATGCTCAATTTATTCGAAATTATCAAGTCAAATCTTCGTAACTATACCTATAAATTCTTCATAATGATATTCAATATCAGGTTTGTTTCCATCAGTTTAAGTGATATTAACATGATATATGTATTTGCACCTTGTTTTCCTAATCATGAACGAGTAACTTCTTGATTATTCATTTACTAACTGAATGGATAATAATTTATTATTATAAATGCATAGAAATATACTAATAGAATACCTACTCGATAAACTGAAAGATTTAGGCCTTGAATCAGTCAAAAAACTCCATTGTCATTAAACTTTGACTACGTAGATACAAAAGTAGTCAAAGTGATTTCATATTATATGTATAGCATCTGATAATTCATTATGTTGGAACTAACTATTATGGATTCGATGACTGTTATTTTGCTAGCATATTTCCTTTCCAACCATAAGTACATTTATATACATAAATTAATTTCAATGAAAAGTCACTAGTATTTCTGTCAATGGTTTGGGGGTGTGCTACTGATAAATATAAGTAGTATGTATGGTTAATCGCGAGTTGAATGTCTGGCGACAGAAGGTTGAGAAAATAGAAAAGAACGAGTACAGAGAGTGATTAGCATAGAAACGAAAGAACAACAAAGTCTGGAACAATTGATGGATAATTTGAAAATAAAGTATTCATTGTATGGTTCTCAGATTTTATCAATTTACTCTATAATGTTATATTAAAATACATCTGGCTGTCGTCGCATCTGTCCTCGTTCACTATAGTTTCAGTCATGCTAATGATTCGTTGTCTATTGAAAATTCGTTTGCTAAATATCACGAATTCGACAGTGTTTAATGATAACTTTAATCACAAACTGACATCAGTTAAACGATTCTCTTATTGAGCTCGAAAGACTTATTGGAATCTGGTAAGCTTTGTGAATAAATTCATTCTACTATTAATAAATTGTGGTTGTCGGCTAACACCTCTGGTGAGTTATTGTTTCATGATTGATTTGACTAAACCTATATGCTTTGAGTTACCGTTACGACATTTTCAAATCATTTCTAAACTTAATCGCTGGTTATTTTCAGACACTAAAATTGGTTTAGTTTCCCTCAAGAATGTGTCGTGTTTGCTTCATGAGTAAGCATATGTCGTGGTGAACGAGAACACAAGTAGGCATAAGTGAATGCATTAGAACACGAAATTACAAAACATCTTAGTAACATCTGAAAACCATACAATAAATGTTTAATTTGCAAAATGTCAATCAGTTATCTCAAACTTGGCTTTCCCTATCACAAATGTCACTCAATCGTCTCAAACTTCACCATTCCTTCATTTCCACAGCAATCATTCTGTGTTCTCTTTTTATTTTCTTCGATCTTCTTAACCTTCTTCTGCCACGTATTTGACTCTCGATCGATGATGAATACTACTTATATCTGTCGACATCAGTAGCACACAACACGGGTGAACCACATTCTCAACTTCAGTTAATTCGCAGTTATTACGCGGTGATGACTTAAATCCTATGATCTTTTAAATTGGTTTTGTGTATAATTTGAAGTCGAGACCAGTGACGGTGAAGGACTCACATCTAATTCAGCAAAATCAGTGTTAATGTATAGCAATCCAAACAGTCTCCCTCTACTATCTAAATGCGTTTGCCTAGTCTAGACAGTAAACGATTTACTGACTGAATTTTACATATGTATAAATGTATAAGATTATTGTTACTTAATGTGTTAAGTTGTAGTATCCTTCTACTCTGTACATGTATACATGTATCGCATATTTCAGTCCAGTAAGATCCCACTTCCATTTTGAATTTTCAACGAGATTATGATCTGTCAACATCTGTAGCACACTCCACAATATTACATTATGTGTTCTTACAAGTCGAAAATTATCCTAGTTATGATGGATAACTTTGTATCCATTTTACTTCATAGAACATTGTTTTTTATAAAAATTTAACACAACTTCATAAATACTGTAATGATTAGTTGATTAGTTTACATATTATGTAAATAGGGATAGAAATTTTCCCTAGAGTTAATGTAAACGTTTTATGGATTTTATAGTACTGAAATCCATATTTATTAAAATTTTGATTAACAATCCATTCAGTTCCATTTATTCTACATTTTAATTCTTTTAAAATATACATCTCTTCAGCATAGTATTTATCAAATGAAAGGTATAAACATTTTAAATGTGAAAAACATTACTAACAAACGATAAGTCTATTACTGTTAGATGGAAACGTTTATAAATGTTACTTGTATACAAACATTTTAAAAATAAGGAAAATATTATTATGAAAATGCGCAATTTTCATAAAATTATTTAAAAAAAAACAAGACAAATGCTTAACTCTCAAACAGTTTAAGATTTTGATTGAGATCATGAACTGATTGATGTTAGACCAACATTGAAAACCTGGAAGCACTGGATGGCCATTTAGTTCTGTTCTAGACCTCCTCAGAATTGCGTATCCACCACCCCGCCCGTGGGATTCGAACCCAGAGCCTTCGGTCTAGCTCACGAACGCCTAAACTTTTAAATAAGTCTATGTTCATTATGTTTTCCATTGGAAAAATTTATAATTTATTATAATGTGAACATTTGATATTTCATTCAAAATATATCTTCAACTTTCCATTTTCAGTCTTTCACGGTAAAAAATGAGTTTGCAGTCAGAAGAACTGAAACTTCCTATGAAGCTGTAAAAATTTATTTAACGTTTTACACTACGTACTTATAACATCTAGACAACCATTAAAAACCGGGAAGTATTGAATAGCTGTTTCGTCCCAGCTTGGGACTCTTTGGGATTATGTATCCACGATATTACTGTTGCTGAGAGGTCTCATGCTACAATG